ACTCTGATTGAACAAATGCGCTGTGTACACATCTCACGAGGAATCACGAGCTTATGTGCTGACTACATATTTTAACCTGTCAATGCATTTTATTTTTATTTCTGTGTACACCTATCCCCCGATTTACACGTTTTTCTCATGAACGTTTCTACCGTGTAAATCGGGGGATAGGTCTATTAACATATTTACTTTTATTGTATCTACATATGCAAAATAGTGCAGATAGAGAAATATAATATAATATCGTAAAGATGGAGGTTGCCTGGCCGGCGGCATTCATATTTATATGAAAAATAGACAATTCGGCCAGTTGGAGTTATATTACTTTATTTATTTTGATATAATTTTATTATTATATATTTTTACTTCCTAGATCATAGTTTTTGACGAGTTTAATATTTGTTTTTGACTCGCGCTTTAGATGTTGTACTGAATTCGAAAAATCACGTTAGAACGCCCTTGCAAACTTCAGAACAATTTTTAACGCCTTGCCAAATGCTTTATTTTTATTTACTTCTCCTGACGAAGACAGAATATTTTTGTCGAAACGTTGAGAAAATAAAAAACTCCAACTGGCCGAAGTGTCATTTTTTAAATATAAATAGTTAAATATGTTAATACACAACATTTACAAAATGTGTTTAGGTTTACCGAGATTTACATTTATCGCCTAGGGAGTGTAGAGGACATCCTCTGTGTAGTGAGGAACCTCAGACCCCCTAGCTTCATTGAGCAATCTTCCCCAAGTGATGAGGCAAACAGCGGAGATGGTTCGCTGGAACTTGTCTTACGCAAATATGTTTTGTGTTGATCCTAAATGGGCTAGGTACACGTTTTTTACCTGGAGTTACTACTCTGTTTATCTATGACAAATCCACAGTTTTTCTTAACGATTGTGAATGCCTTGAATACCTCATTATTGTGTGATGAAACTCCAATAGTGTTTTGTTTAAATATTTTGAAGTCCTTTCAAATGGTTTAAAGTAAGATCCCCAGTAGAAACTCTTTAAGAGGAAATGTTACAAAAAGATAAATTGTTGATTTTAAAGAGCTTTGTGTCAGAATTGGTTTCAGTATAGAGAGGTTTGTGTCGCCCTTTGTGTGCGCCGATCCTACCTGGGCGAACAAAACGGAGATGAGAGGACATGCGCGCCTCGGACATGGGAGTAAATTTCACAAAGAGCAAGGGTCTATGGTACGGCACATGACGTGTCCTCAACGACGCTCCCCTGGCAATCTCGGGCTTCCAACATCTGGAAGCCGCTCACCAATATCCTCGCACTGAATCCGCTCCAGCTATGGATCTTCCCATCATCAGCGAATGCTGTCCAGTACCCCGAACTTCTGGTCCTTGCGAGGAGAGTCGGAGACTTCGCAATCCCTGCCGCTCTCATCACTCACCCAGCGTGCTGCACCTTGTCTGTCCTTGTAAGCGTCTTACAGAAGAGAACCCACGAGGGAGCACCATCAGGAAGGTTGTGGTAGCTCGCGGTACTGCCACGCCGAGTCATCTCCCGTATTACCCAACACATATTGAAGCGTCCACGTTAGACTGCCCTGTCCATCAACCAGATCCTGCAAAGGTGGACGATACATTCAGACCTCTCCATCGCTATTGGTTGGTTATCGCTGCAGCGCTGCGCCTTCTCCGGCCACAGCGTAGACTTACAGCCACTGTGCGGCTCGCTGTGCACGACTTGCTTCATCCACCCGGCCTCTGTCCGACAGTCCTGCTTCATCTGTGAGTCCAACAACCTCTCCACCGGTACTGATCCTGCCGCTGCATCAGACATCCGTGAGGCTTTCACCATTCTCCAGCGGCCCCCTGACCTGCAGGGCTGGGTCTTTAGAGGAAGCTTGGATGATGACACCCTGGCCATTCTGGTGTCTGCTAAGACCCGCAAATATATATTTTTCCCTCGGCATAGAACTGCGGTGGGGTGAAGCGAGCTATTTCCTTATATAATGTAAATCAGGATTCAGACAAAATCTCTGAATGATATTTGATTCACGGTGACCTTTATTGAGACACACAAGATAACCAAGTGTAAACAACCTATGCCTCTGTCTCTTTTCAAAAAGAAACGATCGGCCACATCAAAGACGTTCTATTTCTTTAAAATTTGTCCATGAGTGTATCTTCACCTTATTATATATTATAATTTTTCGTTTTAATTCATTTTTCAACTTTTATTTATATTTAACCATTGACTGAACGTCAATAAAAGATTTTAAATAGTCAATTGTCTAATATCTATATTAATAAAATGCAAATTTCATAAGAGGACATCACTAAAAACTTTCGTTACAATGCATCAATTTCAACCAAATTTTCAACATTTATGTAAAACGAGATGGAGCAGGTTTTGCTTAACATCAAAATATTTTTCCCTAACATTAACATGCGTAACTTAGCTGTTATCGATTAAATACAAAAAAATCAACAGAGTTAATTTTATTTATATATAAATACAAAAAAAAATTCAGCAATTCATTCAACTCAATCTAAAAAAATATTCAAAACAAGCAATTTTAAGATAACACCATATATAAAACAGTCGGCAGAGAAAACAACAACGATATTACATCTTTCTCACATATTCACACACAATCTTGATTAATAATTAAAACTAATCTTTAACATTGTTTATTATACTTCATAATATATAATATTCGTTAGGCAAACTTTCACTCGGATAAATGTAATATAAAAAGCCAACAATGAAGAATGAATGTAAGATAAAAATCCAACAATGAAGAGTAAATATAATATAAAAAGCCAACAATGAAGAATGAATGTAAGATGAAAAGCCAACAATGAAGAGTAAATATAATATAAAAAGCCAACAATGAAGAATGAATGTAAGATGAAAAGCCAACAATGAAGAGTAAATATAATATAAAAAGCCAACAATGAAGAGTGAATGTAAGATAAAAAGCCAACAATGAAGAGTAAATGTAATATAAAAAGCCAACAGAGTGAATGTAAGATAAAAAGCCAACAATGAAGAGTGAATGTAATATAAAAAGCCAACAATGAAGAATGAATGTAAGATAAAAAGCCAACAATGAAGAGTGAATGTAATATAAAAAGCCAACAATGAAGAATGAATGTAAGATAAAAAGCCAACAATGAAGAGTGAATCTATCTATATATATAAAATTGAATGTCTGTCTGTTTGTCTGCACTCTATAGATTCAAAAACCATACATCCAATCGCCGTGAAATTTTGGGATATTATTAGGTATATCACCGGGAATGTTTTTGAAAAATAATTTCCTGAATATCTTGAATATCCTTAGAGTTATTTGCAGATTTGTAGATTTAACTCGCAAGCAGCGCCCCCATTGTGACGATGATAACAATATATCGAGAGATTCAAATTTACGAGTTTCAAATTATCAAAATATATCTTTTTTTTTTAAATAAGTTTTTAGAGAATTGTTTCAACAAATGTTCGCTAGACAAACCTTTACTCGGGTAAAACCCCGGGCGAAGCCGAGTACGTTTTATAAGTTTATAGAGAATTGTTTTAACAAATGTTCGTTAGACAAACATTCACTCGGGTAAAACCCGGGCGAAGCCGGGCACATCCGCTAGTATATATATATATATGTTATATTAAAATATTACTTTAGTTAAAAAATATATATATTTCATAGATACAAATACTCTGTTAAATCGACCGCCAGAGGTCACGCTTCCCCTATAAAAACTCATTGTTGTTGTTTCCCGATGGCCGGCTCAAATCTTTTGTACATTATGTAAATAAGTTTTTCATATTTTTATTCTTACGCCATAAACCAGGCAGTACTTTTATCAAATTATGTTTTATATATATTATTTTAGGTCAATTAAAGCAATTACTGATCAAAACCATTTTTATTATTATAATCCACAAGATTTTAACCACGACTGTATTACCATAGCATAATCTCAACAATCTCCAAAATCAACAAAAAATCTATTTTTTTTTTAATATAACATATATAAATGATTAGCTTACAGCAACAGAGAGGTTTTGAGGTATCAAGATAATTCATTGGAGTCTGTATTTAACTTATAAACACCTCGGACCGCATCCTCAATAAATAAATATCTGCCAATTCAATTCTATAAACCGGTAAATTCCAAGCAATTTTTAAATCTCCACTTTTCAAATAGAAAAATCTCTATTTGGGAGGAAAGTCAAAATTCGGGAAGTTCTCTAAGCCGGGGAGGATTGAAGCTACTCTGATTACATCGATGTATAGGTGCCTATACGGTGTGAAATATACAAATAAATACACATTTTTATGATATCATATACAACATACACATATATATATAATACAGTACAACCTCCCTATAAACGACACTGTGGGTTCGATTCCCATCCCTGGACACTTTTATTTTTCCGTTTATCATTACTCGTCACAATTCATCCTATCATACCTCATCCCTAAGGTTAGAAATAATCGTTATTTCTCCTTAAAATAAGTTTTGATATTTTGTTCAAAAGAAACACATGCGGGATAATTTTCAAATTTCATTTTACAATCACAAGCCGCATTATATTATATTGTATCATGTTCATATTATTACTATGTTTTATTATTATCCCTAATATACGTGGTACAAGTCATGATAATCATAGTGGGTAGAAGTAAGCCACTACTTTTACTTTAAGTGCATCACATGTCTACACATGTGAAAATCAGTTTGACTTTTTCATTTACAAATATGCCAGAGACCCGTCTGGTTACTTGCACTCGCTGGTAGGGTTGGAATTTTGCAAGAATAGGAATCATTGGAGCATTTTTTTTTTTATTAGAAAAAAAGTGCCCAATGCGGGAATCGATCCCGGGTCGTAGCGGCCGAATACCAGCGGTTTAGACAAACCTTCCACCGACTCCCTATTTATATGATAAAAGTAGAAGAATGTTCGGATAAATACAAAGACCAAGTCAGGAGTGTACCTCAGTTTGCCACGAGTAAGGAAAAAAGACAAATCTACCTATTCAAATAGGGTAGCCTAGTGGTCATGGCATCTGCCCGGTAAGCAGATTACTGTAGGTTCGATTCCCATCCCTGGACACTTTTATTTTTCCGTTCATTATTACTCTTCACAATTCATACTTCATCCCTAAGGATAGGAATAATCGTTATTTCTCCTTAAATTATGATTTTTCATTCTGTCAAAAGAAACATTTGCGGTAAAACTTGTCAAACGACGTTCTAGAATACCTATTGAAATATCCCAGTATCCACCGACAGAGCTGATGGTATCGCCAGAGTTTACCTTGACAACCGCCATATTGTATCGATGCTCATTATTGACAAGGTAATTTGAAGCTACAGACAATGATAAATGATCTTGTAAAAGCTGCCAAATATGTTTATCATTGATATTATTATAAAAAGATGGTAACAAACGTGATCTAAGGAATACAATGTATAATTTGTTTGGCATAATTTAGTGTTTTTCTTATATCAGGTAATTTTGCATCATTATTGTGCTGCCCTCTCTTTAAGTGGTCTGATTACATAAACTATTTCATTTTATGTACTATACTAATATACTAATAAATGATTAAATATTCTGAAAAAAACCTTATCACTGGGAATTTTCAGCTTACTCTCTGTCTAATTATTTTGTCGTATCTAAAAACCAAGAACCGCATAGGATTCCTTGAACACATCAGCCTTTTCTCCCACACAATTCATCTAATTCTGTTATTCACAGAATAGACATCCTAGAAACATCTGGACATTCAAACCTCTCGCTCTATAATACGTTAAAATGACTTATCCTAGATTTAGATATTCCACATTGAAGGTATTTTTTTAATTAATCAAACAGGCGTGATATTGTAACATTTGCGCCTATTACAGAATAAACAAACAAATTAGAACTAAGAATTAAATATTTACGAATTTGCATGTATCATTCGACAGAGTTCATAAAATATATATAGACAAAGTGGCTGTTATAAGAGAGTTAAATCATTTAGATCAGGGAACAATCGATGTCTCACTTCTGTAAAGTTCGGACAGTCGTAGATAAGGTGACGAGCAGTTAAAGTTTCTCCGCAGGAATAATTTGAAGTTCCTGATAGACATGTTGAAGGTATTTGAAGAATGTCTACCCTGTGTATCGTCCATACCAGCTGGATAGAAGCCGTACCAGCATGTCGGGTATTGTCCACCGACCTTGATCCCAGGGAGATAGGTTTGGCAACTTCCTATGTCAAGTGACTTGGGAAACGTTCTAATTTCTCCATCCAGCTGTAATTGCTCCTCCTCTCTCTGCTCGCCTGGTAGGAAGATTTAGGAGGAATTGTTGTGCTGATGGTAGCGCCGATTGGATGATTACATGGACAGTAGCACATCCTGTACAAGGGGTCGGCAGAATTTTGAGTCGGAAGAGTCAAAAATTACAATTTACAAAATTTCAAAGTTTTTAAAGAGCCACAATTATTTTCTTGCCAACAATAAATAGTACTGGCATAAATAATATTGTCGCGGAGATAAATAAAGCAAGGGCAAGTTTGGGGATAATTAATTTATTATAAGGGGTATTTATAGGGAGATGGATAAAGTACAACTTACCCCAAGTTAAAGTTAATCCTAATGAGGGACGTCAGCTCCCCCCGCCGGCCAGATTCCCCAGAACCCCTCACACCCGGTGTCCAGCGATGATTGACAGACGTCCCATGGGGCCTCTCGTGATTTGAGCCGCTTAGCTTCTTGACAATATTTACGTATGGAACTATATAACTTCAAATAAAAAGACATATATTGGATCAAAATATCATTTATTTTACCAATATTTCAGTTGCCTGAACGCTAACCTTTATTAAGGTATTATAACATTTTAAAGTGTGTGTTATAATACCTTGATAAAGGTTGGCGTTCAGCCAACTGAAATATTAATATATACAGTTATCAGCGTCATAATCAAGCAACAATTCTTAATTCTGTCACCATTTGCTTTGTGAATGGAATAAATACCCAAATATGGCCATTTCTCATAACCATCAGTGGTTCAGTGGTAGAATGCTCGCCTGCCACGCGGGCGGCCCGGGTTCGATTCCCGGCCGATGCATTTTTTTTTTTTACAATTTTTAAAACTCATTTATATATTATACAAGAATGACATCCACGGCGCCAATTTATAATTGTAACGAATAGTATTTGAATAAAAGCATTTAATCGGGTAAAACCCGGGCGTTGCCCGGGTCATTCGGCTAGTTGGTAAAATAAATGATATTTTAATCCAATATATGCCATTTTAATTATAGTTTTATTTATAGATTGCTTTATTTTCAAATCGTATGGAACTATATAACAACAGCTTCACTTCCAAAGAGCCCACTTTACTGACCTCTGGACTATATCATCGATATTGTCTTTTCTCTTTTCTTATTTGTCTGCAGCTCTTGTACTGTGGCGTAGAATTGAAACAGTAATATCTTACTGGGATCTCGGGGAGATAAAGAGGATTACCAAAATCCTAAACCAATCTTCTTGAAATTTCGAGGCGTCTTTTGAGACGTATGAAGGCAAATGTGATCTCACGGCGTAAAATTATTATTTTATAGATCTCAACTTTCTCTCTTCTCTTCTCTTGTCTCTCTCCATGGATCTCCCATCTTCAGACAAGAATATAGTACCTCGAATATGTTATCAAAGTCAAAGTAATCAAATAAGAGCTATGAAAGGACAAATTTCCCAATATGCTTTAATTGGATGATTTATTAGCATTCTTCTGATTTATCTGTTAATTCACGTGATTCAGGAATAAAACAGAATATCATTTGAATAAAAAAATCTCTCTCTTCATCAATTATTTTATATATTTATATCTATTTATTCCTCTATTTATCATTATATAATCTTATTTATTCATATTTATATTGTCACGGAGATAAATAAAGCAAGGGCAAATTTGGAAATAATTTATTTTAAAGGTGGGTATTTACCTTTTAGTTCTCCAATAAAATTATATATAAGAGGTATTTATAGGGAGAACAACTTATCCCAAGGTAATTAGAGTGGTCAGCCACTGTCCCGTTTTCCTTATTTGCCGATAAGATTCCGAGAACCCCTCACATCTGTCCCCCCGGAGTCCAGTGATGATTGACAGGTGTCCCATGGAGCTTCCTGTGGTTGTAGAGCTACTTGATAATATTCTATATTTAACCTTATACTACTCCACGCTGACGAGCGCCAACAGCGCGAAACGCGTTCTTGGATGTCTTTTCTTGATTTATCAAGAAATCGGGTTGGCCAAATATCAGGGAACAGGTTAAATCAATGTTTAGGTGATTTCTGTTCCACCAGATGGCGCTTTGCCTTCTGAAAAGCACATGTGCTCCTTTTTAATAACCTTATATGAACGATGTAATAAATCAGTTTCAATAACAATCTCTTTTCTTTCAGATCCTAATTTTTTGCCTAAAGGTATTGTCATTAGACAAGTATATGGACTCAAATTTTTTTGTGACTCTTCTTCTTCTCCTTTCTTATCTCCACTCAATCATATTAAGGTATCAAGCTTGTAAAGCTTGTTGATGGTGTCTGCCTGGGAAGAGTAGAGCTCATCAATGGATGAGTCAATACAGTCAATAATATGTCTTCTTCTTCTTTCTTTTCTCCACTCAATCACACTAAGGTATCAAGCTTGTAAAGCTTGTTGATGTTGTCTGCCGGGGATAAGTAGAGCTCATCAATGGATGATGTCAATACAGTCAATAATGTGTTTTGGGGTTGCAGGTTGACACTTAGTACATAGTGATGAGCATAGTGGCTCTTTTTATAGAATTAAACCATCAAAATTCACTTTAATATGTTTCGGTCCTGAATAGATCGAACATGTTTTTATATGACAAGACACGAGATGGAAGGTTTGTTAGTGGTTATAAATCAGGTGACGTCATTCATTCCAACGATAATTACTTTCAGACTGAAAGGGATGAATTCAGATTCTGTCAGAACAGCTGTGCTTATTCACTCTCAAACATCTGTAAAGGGGGCTTGGTGGAAGCATTAAAATATCTACACACAAACCACAGATCTACTATCTTGGAAGAAAATTACAAGCAGTATCTTAGCAGAAATTAGTGAACAGAGAATTCAGAAAGAGCTGAATGTCACTAGGTTATTTAATGGGGGTCGGTAGAAGTCTAAACCGTTGGTTTTTGACCGCTACGAACAGGGTTCGATTCCCGCATTGGGTCCTTTTTTCGTATTTAAAATGCTCCAATTCCCCTCGATTCTTACTAAAGTACAACCCCACCAACGAGTGCAAGTAACCAAACAGGGCTTTGGCACATTTCTAAGTGCAAAGTCGAACTGCTTTTCACATGTGTAGACATGTGATGCACTTACAGTAAAAGCAGTCGCCTACTTCTACCCACCATGATTATCATGGCCTGTACCATATGTACTAGGGATAATCATCTATAAAAAATAATGATTTTGATGGATGCACTAAACAGGATCTTTGAGAGAGGCCACTGTTTATCATCAAACAACTCGAGGAGCATGAACTCGTGGAATTGGTGTAATCTTTGCACAAGGGGATAAGAAACAACAGCATAATGTTTTTGCCACGAAATAAATAGCATTTGTTATTTACAGTTTTCCCGGTGTAACTTAGCAATTTTAACGGCAAGTAATATAGATTAATGTGACTGTCCAAGAGAGCTTAACTTTCCATTTTGAAGTAAACTTTCGGCGCAAACGGAAATTAAATGTTCACAATCTAAACTGCAGAACTCTGTGAAATGTGGTATTCTAGCTTGTTGTAACATATGCATTCTCTAACAGGCTATTGTATATAGAGATATCCACTTTCTCAAATGTAAACACAGTAGAACCTCCCTGTAAAGGACACCTAATTACAGAGCCAAAGTATTCTTTAGAGAGAGATGTCCTCTTACCAGAGAGTTGCTAAATTGTAAAAATGGTAATATAGTGGAACCTCCCTGTAAAGGATACCTAATTGCAGACACAAAGTGTCCTTTAAAGAGAGGTATCTTCTCACCAGAGAGTTGTTAAATAGTAAAAATTGTCATTTTGCAAATGAAAAC